GGGGCCGGGAGGGGCTCCTGGTGACAGGTACGGATGAGGTTCACTGTGACAGGTACAGGTGAGGATCTCATAACAGGAACTAGTGAGAATGCCGGTAGTGGGCGCAGATATGAGTGGGGATCCTGACAATAGGTACAAACAGAGGGCTCACTAACAGGTAGAGGTAGGGGCGAGTGTCCCAGTAATGAGTGTGGGTATGGACACGGGTCCCAGAGTACAGGTATGGATGAGGGACCCCATAACGTGTATAGCTATTGATAAAGGTCCCGGTAATGGGTACAGACTCAATGTGGGGGTCCCAGTAGCAGGTACGATTATGGATGGGGATCCCCAAAATAGGTACAGACAGCAGTTCCAATAAAAAATACAGTATGGATGGGAATGCCCCATAAGATATGCAGGTACAGACAAGGGTCTTGGTATAGGTGGGACTCAGGTGGGAGTCCCAGTAAGAAGTACAGATGTGGGTGGATGTCACAGTAATAGGTGCACTTGGGGGAATCCCTGTTTGCAGGTTTGGGGTTTGGGGTGAGGGGCTTCCAATAACAGGTACAAGTTGAGGTTGCTGGTAAGGCACAGGGTGCCCTTCATTGTCACAGGTAAGGTCCTTAGCCCCCACACCAGTGCATACAGGGCCTGTGGTGCACCCCACCGTGGTGAACTGCACCCCAGACCCATAGGGTACCCCACCATGTGTTCACTCTGCAGTTCCTCCTGGGGGAGAGTGATCTAGGACAGAACCGTGCCAAGGCATCTCAGCAGGCCCTGGCCGAGCTGAACCCCTGTGTGGTGGTCGAGGCTCACACCGGGGAGCTGTCGGAGGCCTTCCTTGCCTCCTTCCAGGTGAGCCTGCATCCCTGCGCCCTGGGGACCCCTGGGATGGCAGCACTCACTGACAGACCTGGCACAGGTGGTGGTGCTCACTGAGTCCCCGCTGGACGAGCAGCTCCGCATCGGGGACTTCTGCCATGCCCAGGGCATCTGCTTCATCGTGGCTGACACCAAGGGGCTGGCAGGGTAAGGGGGTCTCATGGGGTCCTGCGCTGGCTCACCTTGGCCCCAGAGCCCCCAGCCTTGTGCTGCAGCCCATGTCCCCAGTATGCTTGGCCTGGACAGGACCTGGCAGTGCTGGGGCAGCTGGTGGGGTACTCCTCTGGCAAAACCCCATCAATCCTCTTCAGGCAGCTGTTCTGTGACTTTGGGGAGCGCTTTGTCGTTGATGATCCAGCAGAAGAGGATCCAGTGTCTGCTGCTGTGCAGCACATCTCCCAGGTAGGAGGGAGGGCAGCCCCTGCAGGATCCCCCAAAATGTTGCTGCCTCCTCCACTGGCTCTATGCCACCCTAGTCCAGTGCCCCACTCTCACATAACCTTCCCGTCCTCAGGGCAACCCAGGAGTGGTGACATGCATGGGGACAGAGAACAGCCGTGGCCACCTCTTTCACGATGGTGACCTGGTGACGTTTTCGGGCGTACAGGGGATGACAGAGCTGAACGGCCAGGAGCCCATCCCCGTGCATGTGCTCGGTGAGACCTCTGAGGGAGTCCTGGCTGCCCTAGCTCGGGGTTGAGGAACTCACCGGGTCCTTGACAGTGACTATAATGTGACATCCGTGCTCCTCTTGTCCCCAGATGCCTTCAGGCTGGAGATCAGTGACACCAGCTCCTTCTCGCCCTACCGCTGTGGGGGTCTTGTTTCACAGGTGCAGCGGCCCCGGGAGTGTTCCCACGTAAGTCGCTCTCGGCCCCACGGTGCTGCCACCCGAGCTGGGGCACTGCTGTGCCATGCCGTCCCCACAAAGGCGTTCACCCCATCCCCGGTGCTGTGCTGGCAGGAGCCCCTGCGCCAGGCACTGGAAGAGCCCAAAATCCAGGTGGCAAATCCCGAGGATCTGGCAGGCAGCCGCAGCCTGCACGCCGCCTTCCAGGCCCTTCACGCTTTCCGCAGGGATCAGAGCCGGCTGCCGCGGCCCAGGGCACCGGTGAGTCCTGTCCTGCTCCTGCCGGCCCTGCCGAACCCCTGTCCGGGACTGCCCTCTCCCCTCTGCCTGCAGGCGGATGCCGAGCGGGTGCTGGAGCTGGCGCGGAGCCTGGGAGCCCGGCAGGG